CATGAAATTTCTGGATGATAAATTGGGGTTATGGGGCGGGCCTGACGAGGGAAATCTCCCAGATTTGATAGAAACTTAAAAAAATAGACATAAACTTCTTTGAAAAGGTTTATTGAATAGTTAACAGTTAATATTTAACACAATAACAAAAATAATGTGGTCTTCTGTGCTGGGAGATTGTGCCTTTAGGAATGTATAAAACAAAAATTTCCCTGAAAATCCAAAGATATGTTATCCCAGATGCAAAAAGACAATAGACAAGCTCAATAAAGTAAACATTGACCTTTGGAAAAAACAAAACAAAAACCAAAAACAAGGCTAGGATATAAGTAGCCCTGTGACTGGCTTTTACTTGGAAAGTTTTAACTTCAAACCATATATGGATACTTTTGGCCTCTGAGTTTGTAAGATTCATCAAGCCATGCCAGACTCCCTGAACTTGCTAGGTTTAGTATATGCCATTTTTTTTTTCCATACTGGGGAGTTAGAACCTGTCGGTTGAAGAGAAAATTCAATGATTGAAGAACTGTATGCATGCATATTAGCATAACTAATGGACACAGACACTGGGGCAGTGGGGGCTTGCCCAGGGTGGGAATGGCTGGGGGGGGGGAGGGAGAGTCCAAAACATGAGAAAAGAGAAATATGTAAGACAATAATTTAAAAATATGAAAATAAAGTCAAGAAAATTCAATGAGGGGTTTATTTCCTCTGGGACCCATTGCTAATGTCCTCCTTAACACAATGTCCCCAGTATTGCTGGTGTACCTTTATTTGGTCTCCTAGAAGTAGTCACTCTTCAGGTCAATAAAGCCTTAGGTTCGAAATGTGCTGGAGGTATTTGTAAAGACAAGAAAAATGTATTTCTTTTTCTTTGCTGCGGCCTTCCACAATATATGAGATGCATCTACTAATTAAACCCCAAGATTGTTGGCTCCTCTACTTCAAACAGCTCATTTGTTCAAACTGCTGAACAAGATCAGTTACTTTCAAGGCTAGATTCTTGCTATCCCTCCTCCCTGCTGTTGTCACACCTCAAGGATATTTGGCACCAAAGTGTCTCTAGTTAGTAGAAAGTTTCTTTCCCTCCCCCCGCTTCACACAACTCTGTTTTGAACTCTACATAACTTTTTCTCTAGTCATACTTTATAGGCTTGGGGGAAATACTGATAAGACACCACCCTATACATCTGCCAGACTATCTCCTGGAAAGCAAACAAACTGTAACTTCTAAAGACAGCCCCTCACACCTACTCAACTTCAGTGCTGCCCAAGGCGCCTCCATTCCTTGTCCCTTAGCAACAGCCACTGCTGAAAAGCAGAAGCCACCCTTTATCGCTGCCTTGTAGTGACTAGCAATACTTTGCCCTTTCTTCTCTTGGAAAGTAAAATAAAGTTCCTCTCTGCGTGTTTTCTTTTACCTGTGAATTCTTCCACACCCCATATCACCAGCCAAATCCTAACAGTATTACTTTATTCAAAGGAGTTAAGTGGATAAATATGAGGGAAATGACTTTGTAGAGGAAAAATAATATTTCCTCCTTCTTTTCCAGATTCTTTGGTTGGCCTAATAATTAAATTGATATAATATAGATTAACAGGGGAATAATAATCAAAAAGTTAGTAACATAACCTAGATATCCATGGAAATGACTCAGAAAAATGGAGTAACTGGCCCAAATGGCAAACACCTTCACCCAAAAAACCACCCTCACCTACAGTCAAAAATGTGTGTGGAGTCAGTCAGCGTAGATTGTCAGGAAAAGCACAGTAAGGATCAGTTGTGGCCCAGTGTGCTGTGCACTGCGATAAGGGCTTGTATTCAAAAGGACTCTGTTCCAAACCAATGACCCAGGGTGCAGACAGGGAGGCTGGGAAGGAGAACAAGGCTCCAGAACATGATCCGGGCTGCAGGGAAAACATGGTGAGAGCCATTGTCTCATCCAGCCAATAGGGATATTCAGGACATAATCACATGGCCAATCAGTCCTATGTACATGAATAAGAAGTGAACATCCGTCCAATGAGCCCAGGATCATGTAGGACTCCAGCATCACTTCCAAATATTAGGTACCAAAATTCATGTCCAATTGTATCCACTCCTGCAGGGTGAATGTCAGTGCCACATAGGAACATCATTTAAAGGGTCAAACTGAGGTATCAAATTCATAACAGTGGATGGGGTCACAGCATGACACCCAATATGTGGACAAAGGTGCAGAGACCCAGCCCTAATTACCAAGGTCTCCTGAGGGTCAAACTCTGTGCTGGGATCAAAGGGGAGGCAGACAAACAGCAGCTCACTCTGAAAGGTTCCTCTGGACAAACCACTGCACTGAGAAATGATGGCGTTTCCCTGAACACAGGGAGGCCAAGGGAAGTGCTCTGAGATGTAAAGGGAATGGGAGGAAACGCATAACTGCAACCATGGAAACAGGAGCTGCAGCTGAGCCACCCTGGTCCTCAGACTGTACCTGCTCCAGTCAGGGCTGCTCATCAGTAGTAGAGACTGTGTCTGACACTGGAGAGAATAATGGCTAAAATCCAGCCCCTTGAATCTGACACTTGTCTGTGGTGTAAACTTGGGGAGCTGACTTCATTTCTCAGATACTGAATTTTTTCAGCATTTTGACATGAGTTTCCAGTTGCCCAGCTTGTTGTGAGCATTAAAATAGAAAATGCTCAAAAACTAACCTGGAAATCCTGGCAACAAGTACTCAGCTTGTTACTTTTATTGATCTTGGAAGGCCAATGTAAGTGCCATCAATCATCTGCATGTCACATTCAGCCAACTGAGACTCAGGGAGCTCTAGGGAGTCTGCTGGAGATCCCCAGGTGGGGCCACCACAATGAGACCTGAGTGCCCACAGCACCTGCCTCCCTGCAGCAAAGTCAGGGGCTTTTATAGGTCCCATTTCTCACTAAAATGCACCCAAAGAAAAAGGTGCTTGTGGGCATTGGCAAAGTGAGAAATGTGTGACATGGGAATGTCTCTGCAGGTGAGGTTGAAGTAGCCAGGAGAGGGAGAGAGAGAGAAGCATCAATGATGAGAGAGAATCATTGATCAGCTGCCTCCTGCATGCTCCACACTGAACGTCTTCCCTGGGGCCCAGGTTTGTGCCCTGACCAGAAATTGAATCGTGACCTCCTACTTCATAGGTCCATGTGGAGCCACTGAGCCACACCTGCTGGGCTCTCATCATTGATGTTTCTATCCCTCTCTCTCTCTTTTGATCTATGAATCAATAAAAATGTTTTTTTTAAATTAAAATATCTATTAAAAAGTAAAACATTAAAAAATTTTCCAATACAAAAAATGTTTATTTCCTACAGCAAAAAAGGCACAAAATTAAATTCCAACAGGCATCTTTGTTGTTCCACTGTTCCTTTTGTTAAAGAAAATTGCCAAAACTCATAGCACATTAGGCAGAACATATGATAAGATGCTTTAACAAAGATACAGACTCGCCCTAACCGGTTTGGCTCAGTGGATAGAGCGTCGGTCTGCGAACTGAAGGGTTCCAGGTTCGATTTTGGTCAAGGGCATGTACCTTGGTTGCGGGCACATCCCCAGTAGGGGGTGAGCAAGAGGCAGCTGATTGATGTTTCTCTCTCATCGATGTTTCTAACTCTCTACCTCTCTCCCTTACTCTCTGTAAAAAATCAATAAACTATATTAAAAAAATAAAATGAAAGATACAGACTCAACATATACACTTCTGAGAAAAGGCTCACCATAAATCCCTAGAAAAAAATACAATGAAACAACAGATAGGTAGAATAACAAAATTACAGAATTTATTTAAATAAAGAATGATTGACAAAAGATTTGCTAGAATGTGTAGAAGGTAAATACCTTGCACACTGGTGGGAAAATGCCAAAAGGCACCATCAGTTTATTTTTATTTTCAAAGAATAGTTCATTGATTTTTAAAATATATATTTATTGACCTCAAAAACAAAAGGAGAGAAAGACCAATGAAGAGAGATTATCATTGACTGGCTGCCTCCTGCACAACCCACACTGGGATTTGAGCTTGCAACTTGGAATCTGCCCTCACCGGGAATTAAACCATGACTTCCTGGTTCCAGTTACCTCTTGCATACCCCCCTTCCAGGGAGCTAGCCCACAATCCAGGCACAGGCCCAGCAATCCAACTGATAACACTTCAGTGCATCCAACCAACTGAGCCACAACATCCATGATGGTATATTCAGTATAGATCACAAAATGCTAATCTTTGTAAATTTAAACATTCAAATACACCATGACCTAGATTATGTACTGAAAATTTATTTTGACAAAGTTAAATGAAACTTCTATTGATATAAAGAATTATACAGAAATGTTTGTATCAGTTTTATTAGAAACTAAAGGCCCAATGCACGAAATTCATGCAAGGGGCTCGGTCCTCACAGCTGCAGTGGCTTCCCTCAGCCCTAGCAGCCCTGGCTTTGTCCGGAAGGTCACCTGGAAGGACGTACAGAAGGTTGTCTGGCTGACTGGTCTAATTAGCATATAACGCTTTTGTTATTATAGATAACAAATGATTCAAAAAATGGATAAACTATTGGTGATATATTCAAAGGTAATATTTATCAGAAAAAAAATGAGTTACTAATATATCTTTACAAAATTTCCAAGTATTTATGAAACATAAATTAAAGCAGAAAAATACTTAGAAAATGCAAAGTGATTAAAATGGAATTTAAGTCAATGGTTACTTGGAAAGCTGGAAGAACAGGGACAGATTTAAAAAAGGTCATGAAGGCCAGAACCGGTTTGGCTCAGTGGATAGAGCATCGGCCTGCGGACTGAAGGGTCCCGGGTTCGGTTCCAGTCAAGGGCATGTACCTGGGTTGCGGGCACATTCCCCGTGGGGGATGTGCAGGAGGCAGCTGGTCGATGTTTCTCTCCCATCGATGTTTCTAACTATCTAGCTCTCTCCCTTCCTCTCTGTAAAAAATCAATAAAATATATTAAAAAAAAAAAAAAAAAAGGTCATGAAGCAAGTGCACAGTGACAGATATGGTCAGTGTTACGAGTATAATAATGATTTCACTTTCACGCACACATCAAGATTTATGAAACGCTATACTAAACACATGTATATTACTCATTATAGCTTTTAAAAATGGTTCCAGATTAAGAAGTGTGTTTGTTCCACTGTATTGGAAAAATAGGCTTGGCAAATCTATATTCAATCCACCTTCTTATACCCTCTGGGCAACTGTCTTGCCTAGTGACAGAAAATTTAACAAACAATGGAGCACATTCAACCAAACCAACAAGAATGCTGGCTGGGTCACAAAAGCCACGTCCCTGGACTAAAGACACCCTTTACCTTCATCTTTGCTTTTCTGCCAGCTCACCAATGGCTCTGAGGGGAACATCTGAGAGGCTACAGGAATTCACAAAACCTCTTGATGATAACCAATGACAATGCATCCACAGAAGATAAACATGCCTGGAGACCCTAGATGCTCCTATACACGTTTCCTCAGAACATTCCTGGATGCACGTTTCTATGAGGAACATTCCATCTAGTGAGCTGTATTCACCTCCAACACCAATTATGCCAGTGGTTCTGCATGAAAATGGTTTCCGCTAACTGCTATGGTCCTCCAACCAGTTACCATCACCCATGGAAATGTAGGCATTAGGGCACATGGCCCTCTGTAAGACATGGGGAGGAGGTTCCCTTCAAATGTCTTAGCATCTCTTCCTTGAAAACAGGAAAAAAAATTCAGTGCTCCCAGACATACTTGAGGTTGTCACAGCTACCCCCTCTTTGGAGTGATCTCTGTGTCTCAAAACATCCATCTTCACATGAGGACCAGAGAGTCCACAGTGTTTCCTGGGAAAATATGGGCAGCAGTGTAAATTAGGCAAAAACTGCTGAGCTAATTTCTGCACCATACCGTTCCCTCCAGGGCAAAGAATGTTTGAGATCTCAAAAATGCTTCTCACCTCATCATGCTTGGAGAGCCCAGATCTCCTTATAAACTAACCCACATAGTAAATAGAACATCCAAGATTAAAGACGTCTTAGTAAAAAGCCTTCATTATTTTACAAACCAAAAGACACATGAGACTGGCAGTTCACCAACACTAACGTGTTCTACGTGGCAACTCCTGAGTGAAAAGAATTCACAGTTCCTAGGGATCAGGTATTCCTAATTTTCGTCAACAAACCAGACAACAGAGTTAGCTTCCCCGAGCACATGAGGATGGTGACCAATACCATCTGTAGGGACCTTACACGGGGTGCAGATGAAATACCTTCAGCAACAGAAATACGCAGTGACGATATGGCAAGACATTTGTATGTTAGAAAGTGCAACATACACATATGGTTCAAGTATAAAAAACAACAGCAGAAACACTTGTGGGGACTTTACATAATGTAAGTGTTTAAATATGAGATATAATGCAGACAAATTAGATTTTGCAATTTTTTTATGCTATTGTTAAGACCTGAGGAACATATCCTACAAAACTAAGAAACGTCTCACAAATTAAGAATTTGGATGAGAGATATCTTATGTTAATTGCACTCATAAGGGGTTTCTCCAGTATGAACTCTCTGATGATATTGGGAGATCATTGATACTTGTAAAAGACTTCCCATATTCACTGCTTTTATAAGCCTTTTCTCCTGTATCAACTCTCTGATGACTATGAAGGTAAGTCTTAGTGGTAAAAGATTTCCCACATTCATTGCATTAGGAAGGCCTTTCTGCAGTGTGAAATTGGTGATGATAATGGAGGCCATTCCAAGTGGTAAAAGATTTCTCACATTCACTGCATTTATAAGGCTTTTCTCCAGTGTGAACTCTCTCATGACGCCGAACCTCACTGCTAGTCATAAAAGATTTTGCACATTCACTGCATTTATAAGGCTTTTCTCCTGTGTGAACTCTCTGATGACAACGAAGATAACTGCTAGTGGTAAAGGATTTCCCGCACTGACTGCATTTATAAGGCTTTTCTCCAGTATGAACTCTCTGATGACGGCGAAGATCACTGCTAGTGGTAAAAGATTTCCCACATTCACTGCATTTAGAAGGCTTTTCTCCAGTGTGAACTCTCTGATGACACCGAAGGCAACTACTACTGGCAAAAGATTTCCCGCATTCACGGCATTTATAAGGCTTTTCTCCAGTGTGAACTCTCTGATGACGACCAAGATCAGTGCTAGTGGTAAAAGATTTTGGACATTCACTGCATGCGTAACGCCTTTCGCCAGTGTGTAAACTTTGATGATTACAGAGACTACTGCTCCGGGTAAAAGATTTCCCACATTCACTGCACTCATAAGGACTTTCTCCAGTGTGAAGTCTCTGATGACAATGAAGGCTATGCATTGTCGTAAAAGATTTTCCACATTCACTACATTGGAAAGGCTTTTCTCCAGTGTGAACTCTCTGATGACGATGAAGGGTAGTGTTACTGGTAAAAGAATTCCCACATTCACTGCACTGATAAGGCCTTTCTCCAGTGTCAACTCTCTGATGACAACGAAGGCCACTGCTATTGGTAACAGTATTCCCATATTCACTGCACTCATAAGGGTTTTCTCCAGTGTGAACTCTCTGTTGATAATGAAAGCTAGAAAACTTGGTAAAATAATTTCCACATTCACAGCACAGAAAACACTGACTTCCAGCATGGAAACATTTATCCTGTATAAACGTGTGATTGCAGCCAACGACTTTGTTATATTCTTTTCTTGCGTAGTTTTTTTTTCTCCTTTGAAACTTCACCCCACACTTCGAAATCTCTTTTGGCCTGTCTCTGGTCTGAGTAGCCATTAGGTGGAGATGTCCTGACCAGGAATGTATACCCTGACCAACCTCCCCACAGGTGAAATGATTCTGAGACACCTTGAAATTGCAGCTATTTGCAAGTGAGATCCTTTCCAGGCCTCTAATGGAAGTCTTCTCTCTCACATGCTGCTGGTGACATTTTGCACTGAAATAAAATTGTTTTGCACATGCCCCACACCTCAACAGTATCTGTCTGTATTGTGTTCCCTGCAGCTCCATCACTTGGAAAATATTTCCCAAGACTACCCCACAACTCTCACAGGGGTGGCTCTTCTGGGAAGACAAGGCTAACTTGGGAAGCCTTTCCTGTGACAATTTTACAGAAATCTTCTGTTCAGTCGCTGCCTCCACATTCTCTGCTCCACAGCAGCAACCTGAACAAAAGAAAACGCTGGTGAGGTACCTGCTGACCTTATGAAAACAGAATATCTTCACCACAAATGTTTATCGGTCATGACTAGGCCTGATGCGATAGGAAATGGCTGTTATACACTTCTTGGCCCCAAAGGTCAGTCAATGGTGAAAATCTCCCCCAAGGGAAGGACAGAAGCACAGGACGGGACACAAAGAAGAGAGGGACACAAAGAAGAGAGGAAAGGTCTGCTAGTTGTTCCTCCACAAATGGCTTCCGATAGGACCTTTCATGCTGGTGATGTGAGTCTGTGTAGAATAATTCGAATGTGCTCAAACCCATAAAAAGCAATTGTATTAGAGCACTTGATGTTCTACCTCAATACAGTAATAGGTATGCACTCTAAGGCTCTGCAGGCATGAACCAACAGTGGAGGGCACTAAAGAGAGACCTGTGAACGAGGTAGAGGTGAAAAGTTTAGAGAGGTTAGGTTATCCAAGGACTGGGAATCCGAGTAGAATAAGCACTGATCACTATTAAAACTGAGTTGTTGACAAAGTGTCAACAAGAAGCAAGGACAAGTAGAATTGTGTGAGAAATGAGCAATGGTAACAAAACACTGTTGAACCAAATGGGTTCCTAGTTATGAATGTAACAAAGCCCAGGTGTAAAAACCTCCCTAACACTGAAATAAAATTGCCTTACTCAGTCAGGACCTTTCATGCTGGTGATGTGAGTCTGTGTAGAATAATTCGAATGTGCTCAAACCCATAAAAAGCAATTGTATTATCCCTAACAGCCCTTTACTCAGGCAAGACAGCCTGTTGATCCATTGTGTCATTCATAAAGTCATGTTTCTACTGTGATGCAGAAATGATTATTCCACCTAATTCCCAGTAGAGTCATTGCACAGGATAAATGATAGAAATCGTAAAAGAAACATTGAAAAGATCGATGGTTAACACTGTAGTACAACAGCAAAGCACAGATGAGATCACAGGCAAATGAGCTATGGAAGTGACATCATCAAGAGGGGAGAATCAGAGATATGAGAATCTTTCCCCATCCCAGAGTAAGGAGACAGCTATCCATGAACAAAAAAACCACAGGAAATGGGAATAAGAGTACAATGAAGACAAATAGTATTACAGAACACCAAATAAGGACAACTGCATAGAACAAATGACTGGAAAGACTAGGTGAACAAACGTATTTGAAGACAGCTAAAGTGAGAAACAACGGTCAGAGTTATCTCTATCAACCACTGTGCTTCTGTTATCATTCACCATAGTGGTCTATTATTAAAAAAATACTGGAAATTTTCTTTTTAAAAATCAAAGAATGGCTCTAGCCAGTTTGGCACAGTTTTATTAGAAACTAAAGGCCCAATGCACCTTGGTTCAAAGAATAGTTTATTGATTTTTAAAATATATATTTATTGACCTCAAAAACAAAAGGAGAGAAAGACCAATGAAGAGAGATTATCATTGATTGGCTGGCTCCTGCAGATGAAAGGTCCCAGGTTGGATTCCAACACTAGGGTCCCAAATTCAAGTCCGGTCAAGGGCACATGCCCAGGATTTGGACTCGATCCCCAGTAGGGGGCGTGCAGGAGGCAGCCAATGATGATTCTCTCATCATTGATATTTCTCTCTCTCCATCTCCCTTCCTGTCTGAAATCAATAAAAATATATTAAAAAACCAACAACCACAGAATACCCTGGCCAGTGTGGCTCAGTTGGTTGGAGTATCATCCTGTGAACCTAGGGGTCTCGGATTCGATTCCCAGTCAGGGCACATTATCAGTATGCAGGTTCCATTTCCACTTAGGATATGTGTGTACACAATCGATTGATATTTCTTCCTCATACTGATGTATGTCTCTCTCTCTCTCTCTCTCTCTCTCTCTCTCTCTCTCTCTCTCTGCCCCCCGTCCCCACCTCTCTTCCTCTCTATCTGAAACTGAATATAAAAAATAAATAAGAGTCCTAGCAGGTTTGGCTCAGTTGATAGAGCGCTGGCCTGCAGATCAAAGAGTCCCAGGTTCGATTCCGACCAAGGGCACATGCCTGGGTTGCGGGCTCAACCCCCAGTAGGGCACATGCTGGAGGCAGCCGATCAATGATTCTTCCTCATCATTGATGTTTCTCTCTCCCTCTCCCTCTCCTTTCCTCTCTGAAATCAATAAAGAAATATATTAAACAAATAAATAAGAATTCCAAGGTAGTCAAATAAAAAAGAGAACTCAAAAAGGTCTAGGGACAAAGTAAATGAAAAGACTCCTACCAAAGCTCATGTATAAAATTCAGAAAATGCAATTCTAAGAGGAAATTTTATAGGGATAAATGCCTACAATATGAAAAAAGAACTCAAAAAAATACTGGCACCTCAGAAAACTAGAAACACAACAAGAAAGTAAACCCAAAGATTGCAAAAGAAAGAAACAATAAATATTAGAAAACATAAATAAAAAGAACACAAGACAAAATGCAAGAATACCTAATAGGTATTTTTTGAAAGATACAATATTGGAAAAACTTTAACTACACTAATGGAAAAAAAAACCCCGAAACAAAAACCAAGCCTCAAATAAACTGTAAAGAAATGAAAGACATTTCACCTGACACTATGAACCACAATGCATCATAAGAGATGTTGATATTAGCAGATGACATGACCCTCCATAGAGAAATTTGTCAAGATCTATGAGCTTCTGAAATTAATAAACAAATTCAGAGGCCTGGGCAGGTGGCTCACTTGGTGAGTGTGTGGTCCCTATGCATCAATGTTGTAGGTTTGATCCCCCATCAGAGCACATGCAGGGGAGAGCCAGTAATGCATAGATGGGTAGAAAAGCAGATTAATGTTTGCCACTCTCTCTTTCACTGTCTCGCTTCCTGTCTTTAAAATCTATATATATAAGCCTAAGTGACCAGCTGACAGGCTGACCAGCTGATACCTATGATGTGCACTGACCACCAGAGGGCATATGCTCAACACAAGAGCAGAAACCCCAGGCATGGAAACATGGAACAGACCAGTGAATCACAGAGGGAAAGGGAAGAGGAGAGGGAAGGAAGAAATTACCAAGGATATTATATGCATATTAGAGGACCAGTGCATGGATTCGTGCATCAGGAGAATCCCTCGGCCTGGCCTCCAGGGTTTGGGCCGAAACCACCTCTCTGACATCCCCTGAGGGGTCCCGGAATGCAAGAGGGTGCAGGCCAGGTTAAAGGAATTCACCCCCTGCCCCCAGTGCACAAATTGATGCACCAGGCTTCTAGTAAATAAATAAAGGATGGCTAGTATGGCTCAGTGATTAAGCATCAACCCATGTACCACTAATACCAAAGAATACCTAATAGGAGGTCACAATTCAATTCATTGTTCAGGCATATGCACAGGTTGTGAGCTCAATCACCAGTGTGGGTAGTGAAGGAGGCAATCCATCAATGACTCTCTCTCATCACTCCTGTTCCAATCTCTCTCTTCCTCTCTAAAATCAATATATATATATATATATATATATATATATATATATATATGGTTTATACAACAAATAAATAGCCCTGGCCCATGTTGCTCAGTGTTGAGAATGCCGGCCTGTGCACTGGAAGGTCATGGGCTAGATTCCCAGTCAAGGGCAGGTACCCTGGCTGCATGTCTGATACCGCTACCAGTATGGGCAAATGTGGAAAGCAACTAAGCGATGTTTCTCTCTCTGTGTCTCACTCAATTTTCTCCCTCAAAAAGAAAATCAATGGAAAAAATACTCACACTACCTGAGTGAAGATAAAAAAAGAATAAAGAATTAAATTCAGAAAAGTTACAGGATGCAAAATAAACATACAAACATTAGTTCCATTTCTACACACTAGTAATAAATTCTTTGATAGAAAAATGAAGATAGTCAAATTTAAAATAGCATTAAAAAAATAAGATAAAATATAAATAAATTTGACCAAAAGGAACATCTATACATTGATACAATAATCCTATATAATAAAGAGCTAATATGAAAATGGTCATCACACCCTCATGCTGTAACGACTTAGACACTAAACACTGGGGAAGGACGCAAAGAGGGGGCAGTTGGAGGCAATCAGGCCGGCGGGGGGGGCGGCAGTTGGGGTGATCAGGTTGGCAGGCAGAGTGGTTAGAGGCGATCAGACAGGCAGACAGGTGAGAGGTTAGGAGCCAGTGTTCCTAGATTGGAGAGGATGCAGGCTGGGCTGAGGGACCCCCACCCCTGTACACAAATTTTGTGCACTGGGCCTTTAGTACAGAGATAAAAGAAATGGAAGAAAACACAAATAAGTTGAAAGACATCCTGTGGAGAAACCAAGATGGCGGCATAGGTAAACATCGGAGATTGCTGCCTCGCACAACCACTTCAAAAATACAACTAAAAGACGGAACGGACATCATCCAGAACCATAGGAAGGCTGGCTGAGTGGAAATTCTACAACTAGAAGGAAAGAGAAAAGCATACCGAGACTCAGAGGAGGCTCAGTGCGGAGGTGAAATACTAAGGTGCGGAGGTGCGTGCGGAGCGGGCTGGCGGCTGAGAGCGTGGTTGTCGTTTTCAATCGGGAGGGAGTCTCAGGCTCTGAGCTCCAGTTCCGGGTGAGTCTCTAGGGACCCAGACTCATAAGGGAGAAGCGGAACTGTCTGGCATTGGTCAGAACCCGAGGGCAGCTTTCTCTCCGAGGGGCTTGCAGCGATTACCAGGACACTGAGAAGCAGAGTCTCTGAGGGCAGGACTGAGAGCAGCCATAATTGCTAACCCCGCCCTGTTGATCCCTTGTAACCCGCCCCGGCCAAGCCCTGTAGGGAGACTTTTGCTGGATAGCCTCAGGCAAAGGCTAGATTAGCACCTCCCTAGAGATCCAGGAGCCAGGAAGCCGAGAGGTCAGAGTGGGACCATCGAGTTTTGCAGCTCCTTGGAACCATAACAGACACACTCAGGGGCAGACTCAGTGAGCACCAAAGCCCCATCAAAGCAAGTCTAGCCCCAGAGGGGTGTCTCCAGCACAGAAGTTCTCCCACTGCACACACAGCTGATTCTCACAGCCAATGGGCCTGGAGGTCAATTCCTCCCAGTGATAACTATAACAATCAAGGCTTAATTACAACAAGACTGTGCACAAAGCCCACAAGGGGGTGCACCAAGAGTGTCTACCTCAGGTAATTGGGACACTTAGCACACACAGAAAGGCACTCTATGGACACGGCGAAAGAATAAAAAATGCCCAGACAAAGAAACAGGACACAAACGACAGAATTGGAGGAAAGCAAACTGCTGAATATAGAGTTCAAAACCACACTTTTAAGGTCTTTAAAGAACTGTCTAGAAGCCGCCGATAAATGTAGTGAGATCTTCAAGAAGACTGGTGAGACGGCCGATAAATGTAGTGAGATCTTCAAGAAGACTGGTGAAACCCTCGATGTTGTGATAAAGAACCAAATAGAAATTAAGCATACACTGACTGAAATAAAGAATATTATACAGACTCCCAACAGCAGACCAGAGGATCGCAAGAATCAAGTCAACGATTTGAAATACGAAGAAGCAAAAAACACCCAACTGGAAAAGCAAAATGAAAAAAGAATCCGAAAATACAAAGATAGTGTAAGGAGCCTCTGGGACAGCTTCAATCGTACCAACATCCGAATTATCGGGGTGCCAGAAGAAGAGAGAGAGCAAGATATTGAAAACCTATTTGAAGAAATAATGACAGAAAACTTCCCCTACCTGGTGTAAGAAATAGACTTACAAGTCCAGGAAGCGCATAGAACCCCAAACAAAAGGAATCCAAAGAGGACCACACCAAGACACATCATAATTAAAATGCCAAGAGCAAAAGACAAAGAGAGAATCCTAAAAGCAGCAACAGAAAGAAAATCAGTTACCTACAAGGGAGTACCCATACGACTGTCAGCTGATTTCTCAACAGAAACTTTGCAGGCCAGAAGGGAGTGGCAAGAAATATTCAAAGTGCTGAATACCAAGAACCTACAACCAAGACTACTTTATCCAGCAAAGCTATCATTCAGAAGTGAAGGCCAGATAAAGAGCTTCACAGATAAGAAAAAGCTAAAGGAGTTCATCACCACCAAACCAGTATTATATGAAATGCTGAAAGGTATCCTTTAAGAAGAGGAAGAAGAAGAAAAAGGTAAGGATACAAATTATGAACAACAAATACACATCTATCAACAAGTGAATCTAAAAATCAAGTGAATGAACAACTTGATGAACAGTATGAACTGGTGATTGTAATAGAATCAGGGACATAGAATGGGAATGGACTGATTATTCTCGGGGGTGGGAAAGGGATGTGGGGGGTGAGGGAAGAGATTGGACAATAATCGTGCACCTATGGATTAGGACAGTGGGGGGGGAGTGAGGGCAGTGGGTGGGGTGGGAACTGGGTGGAGGGGAGTTATGGTGGGAAAAAAAGAGTAACTAATGTAATAATCTGAACAATAAAGATTTAATTAAAAAAAAAAAGAAAGACATCTTGTGTTCATGAATTTGAGAAAGAAATATCGTGAAGATAACTATAGTACACAAAGCTATCTACAGATTAAATGCAATCCTGATGATTACTCCAATGGTATTTTAAAAAGTAATGAAAAGAGAATCTTGCCCTAGCAGTTTGGCTCATTGATAGAGCATCAGCCTGGGAACTGAAAGGTTCCAGGTTCGATTCCGGTCAAGGGCACATGCCCAGGTTGTGGGCTCAATCCCCAGTGGGGGACTTGCAGGGGGCAGCCGATCCATGATTCTCTCTCATCATGGATGTTTCTATCTCTCTCTCCCTCTTCCTTCCTCTCTGAAATCAATATATATATATATATATATATATATATATATATATAGGAGAGAGACAGAGAGAGAGAGAGAGAGAATGAATCTGAAATGTATAGAATGAAGAAGTCCACTAACAAATGAAATCTTGAGTGAGAACAAAGCTGGTGGCATCACACTTCCTGACTACAATTTATTATAAAGAGAAAACAAGCAAACAGTGTGTTATTGGAGAAACACAGACCCATAGATCAATAGAACAGAACAAAAAACACAGAAATAACACCCAGCACATACTTTCAAGTAATCTGTGACAAAGCTGCAAGACACAGAAGAAGGGAAAGATAGTTTCTTCAATGAATGGTGCTGGTAAAAATCAACATTCACATGCAAAACAACAAAACTGGACACCACTGATAAAATTTAACTCAACCTGCAGGACAGAATTAAATGTCAGTGCTACAGCCCTAACCGGTTTGACTCAGTGGATAGAGCGTCAGCCTGCGGACAGAAGGGTCCCAGGTTCGATTCTGGTCAAGGGCACATCCCCAGTAGGGGGTATGCAGGAGGCAGCTGACCAATGTTTCTCTCTCATTGATGTTTCTAACTCTCTGTCCCTCTACCTTCCTCTCTGTAAAAAATCAATAAAATATATTTTGTTAAAATAAAAGTCAGCGCTACAACTTAAAAGTCCTTCAAGAGAACCTAGAGAAAAAGTTTTGGAGATTTGTTTTAGACAGGATTTCCTGAATGTGACACCAACTCACCAGAAAAAATAGAGAAAACAAACATTCCAGACTGCAAAAAATAAATAAAAAGCTTCTTTATTGCACAACAGCAATAAACAAAATGAAATGAAAGGCAATCTAGAGGGTTGGAGAAAATACTAGCAAATCATATGAAGGAATCATTTGCAGAGGTTGTGGATTCAGTTCTGATCAGCACAATAAAGAGAATATTGAGATATAGATATAAATTCACACAAATAGTTGAAGTTCCCCAGGAATAATAAAGGTATGTTAACACTATACTGCAGGCTAATAACAATGCAGTAACTCTGTCTCAAAACAAACTCTATATAACTTCATTAAAAATCGTTTATTGCAAAGCACTAGTAACAAGCATCTGAGTTTGCTAGAAACATGGTGGCACTAGACTTGCTGAATGCAGGGTTGCCAAAAACATGGACTTTGTAGAAAAGCAAGTGTGGGGAGCAATATCTGCAAAGCACAATTAAGCACATGCAAAAATATGTGTTCCTGTATGTAGTAAGCAATTAATATATAAAATATACAGGGTAGTTAGAAGACTCTTTAACCAAAAAATAGTTAATAAACACGATAAGGATGTAGAGACAATTCTCCAAAAAATATGTATAAATGACCAACAGGAATATAGAAAATACTTTCCTCACTGATCAAGGTGGAATCCCTGAGGCTTCCTGTAACACTACCAACCACAAGTCCTTCCCTGTGAGTTTAGTACAGAGGGGACTATTGGGACTTCAGGAATAGAAGGGAGCAGCAGAAACAGACCAACCCTCCCCAGGACAGCAACTACCCAGAAAAGTGGAAAAATCCAGCAGTACCACACTCTACATGGGAGGACAAACACACCCTGGGGGATGGGGCCTGGGAAATGGCAAAGCCAAGTCCAGGTCACTGGTGACAGTGAGGGTCTTACCCAGCGAGGATATAAGTTCAAAGTTCTCCAGCATCACATTCAGGTACAGCTGTCTCTGACCCTCATCAAGGAGGCTCCATTCCTCCCTGGAGAAGTACAGGGCAATGTCCTCAAAGGTCACGCCAACCTGTTAGAATTAAGTAAATTGAAACCAGAGCTGTCTCTCTGAGAAGCTGCATTCCTACTCCTTACACACCTTCCCCCCCTCAACCTTCTCCCGGCCCCCCGTTAGTGTGGACACCAGGCCCTAATGCCAGTGCAGGCTGCTCTCTCATCACAGTCCCATTACTCACTGGGATTGCCCTCAGAAGAGCAGCTGGGTTGGGTGTGAAGGATTAGGGGAGGGGAGGGGGAGAGAGCAATGCCATTTAAGGTCTGGGCGATGCCTGCAGAGCCCCAGCCTTGCAGCCAAGCAACACCACCGCAGTCTCCTAGATCCTGCCTCCAAGACAAAGCCAAGCGTGGGTTTATGCTTCACCTTCAAGTCCCCACAGCAGGTCCCGGGGACGATCAGCTCACAGTTCCTCCAGATGTGCTCACCACTGGGTAATGTTTACCCCCTTCCCATGTTCAGACCCCAGGTTCACTCCCTCAGCTCTGCCCCCTTCCTGCTCCAATGCCACTGGATCTCGATGGACTCACCCATGAACTTGGCATATGGCGTGTAGAGAGCTTGTAGTCCAGCCGGATCCGGGCCCACCCCAGGCCCCTGATGGACCCCACAGCCGGGAAAGCCCGGAATGAGTCTGTGACGTCCTCCCTGCAGCCTCTGCTCTTTCCGTCAATAGTCACAGCCACATCCTCAGGGACCTTCAGATGCAAGTCACCCCCGTCCTCTCTGCCCTGCACTTGCTGTGTCCTCAGAAGCCACAACACTCCTCTCTCCCCTCCACCTTCCTCACGGTCCTCCACGCGGGACTGAGCTGCAGGACGGGACAGGCGCCCTCCCCAGGCTGTGGTGTCTGTGTGAGGAGGCGGTGAGGACCCGGGGGACACAAACTCACCTCAGCCCGTCTCCTCAGCGGGGGCCCCGCCATTGCCCTCTGTGGGCAGAGCCGGGCGGGAGCAGCGGGAGAAGCCACTCAGGAATGGCGGTCCCGTCCGAGGCCTGGCGCTTCAATCCCACGTGTGAGCTGTGCGCACCCCTGCAGGCTCCCACCACGGTCTGTATGGCGGAGACCACCACTCTCCAGCCTTCTCCAGGGACCCTGCGACCAGGAACTCCTGAACCCAGCCGCCAGACGAAAGAGACAGAAGACTAAATCCGACTAGGACTACCGGTCCCGCCCTCCAGAACTGGAAAAACGGAAACGCCTTTTCGGAGCTTCCATTGGCTCAGCCTGGTGGCATTCCACGCCCGGCCTTCTGGGTAATGTAGTTCTTACGCTCGAAGGCCAGGATCCTGTATTTCCTTAGCTGCCTCCAGGACTGGTTTTGAGGGCAAATAGCCCAAGGACACACCAAGTATACTCAGGGCCTTCCAGCGCCTTCAGGGGAGGGGATTATCAGGGAAAGTTTGTTTCTGAGGCGCCTGCGTGGCTTCATTTACCTGTGGGTTTTGCATATTTTTCTTCAGGACCTGCTCTTTCTGAATGGCAGGCATTGTTTCTTCATTCATGACTTTTGGCATGTGTCTCCTTCAGGCCATATGTAGCTAGGGGAGGTTGCTCAAGTCTCTAACTGCTTCTACCTGCCTCTATTGACTCCATTATACAAAGTTAATGTCACAGAACAGACACTCATACTTTAAAGGCATCTGCTTCTGATGCCATCCGAAGTGCAGCTCTGCCTTCGGCTGCAGTGGGGATAAGATGGCCAAGAGACATGTGAAAAAATGCTCTAAGTGACTGATCATCAGAGAGATGAAAATTAAAACAACAATTAGGTATCTTCCCCACCCTCAACCTCCTCCAGGGCTCCCCAGTTTAGTGTGGACACCACACCCTAATGCCAGTGCAGGCTGCTCTCTCATCACAGTCCCATTAATCAGTTATTGCCCTTGGCAACAACAGATGGGATAGGAAGGACAGCAGAGAAACACCATCTAAGCTCTGGGCAATGCCTGTAGGGCGTCAGCCTTCCTGCCAAGCAATACCACTGCAGTCTCCAAGATCATGCCTCCAGGACAAAGACAAACCTGGGCTTATGCTTCACCCTATAGTCCCAACACCAGTCCTAGCTGGTTTGGCTCAGTGGATAGAGCATTGGCCTGTGGACTGAAGGATCCCGGTTGGATTCTAATCAAGGTCCCATGCCCTGGTTGCAGACTCCATACCCAGTAGGGGGTGTGCAGAAGGCAGCCTATGGATGATTCTCTCTCATCATTGTTGTGTCTCTCTCTCTCCCTCTCTTAAATCAATAAAAATATATATTTTTTAAAAGTCCCGATACAAGGTCTCCAGGACCATTAGCTCACACTTCCTCCACATGTGGGCTGGGGGGCGTGGATCCAGGCTGCTGCTCGGCACCTGCACAGGCACAAGTGGCCACGGGGCAGGAACATCCACTTGGCACCTGCGCCCATAGGCATGGAGTGGCCGGGGCGTTCTGGGACCCTAGCTGCTCAGGACCTATGTGCGGGCCTACAGGCTAGGAGTGACCTAGGTCCCGAGGATGTTCCCAGGACCCAGGCTGCTTGCGCCTATGTATGCAAATTAACCACCATCTTTGTTGGTTTAATTTGCATACTCTCCTGATTGGTGTAGTGAAGGTATGGTCAATTTGTATGTTTGTCTATTATTAGGTAAGATAGACTAGCGGCCCAGTGCACTTGGAGGGGGGTTCCTCAGCCCAGCCTGCATCCTCTTGCACTCTGGGAGCCCTCGGGTGATGTCCGACTGACGGACATCCTTAGCGCTGCCACAGAGGCAGGAGAGGCTCCCACCACCGACTCTGTTCTCACCAGCTGTGAGCAGGCTTCTGGCTGAGCGGCGCTCCCCATGAGAGCGCACTGACCACCAGGGGGCAGCTCCTGCATTGAGCTTCTTCCCCTTGGTGGTCAGTGTGCCTAATACTGACACGTCTTTCTGCAGTTCAGTTTATTTGCATATTAGCCTTTTATTATATAGGATACTTTGTACCAGCTTTTTAGAAATGACCAAATACTCATTTGGATAAACTACTGGTGATATATTCAAAGTAAAAATATCATAAAAAAAGATGAGTTACTAATATATCTTTAATAAATATCCAAAAATTTATGAAAAGTAAAGCAGAAAAATACTTAGAAAATGCAAAGTGATCTACTGAAATGGAATGTAAATCACTGGTTACTTGTTAGTCTGTGAAGCACATGCACACATTAAAAAAAGTCATGAACCAAGTTTACAGTGACAGATATGGACAATATCTACGTATAGAAAAGCCTAAGAGACCAGGCGCTATGATGTGCACTGACCACCAGGGAGTAGACGCTCAATGCAGGAGCTGCCCCCTGGTGGTCAGTGCGTTCCCAAAGCAGAAGCGCCACTCAGCTCACCTATGGGGCTAGATGCCAGGCTTTCAGCTGGCAAGCGCAGCTGCGAAGGCAAGAGCCTCTCCTGTGTTCACTCCCCCTGCACACCCCTACCCCATCCTGACCAGGACCAGGATCAAGACCAGCATTGAAACTGACTGAGCACGAGCTCACTGCTGCTTCTCAGACATGGGCGTGCCAGTATTACCTTAGAATGGGTGCGCAGAGACCACAGTGGTGCAGCACCAAATCAACTGAGCACCAGTGGCAGCAGCAGCGGGACCAGGATGAGTGGGAGCATCACGGCACCTGGCCTTGGCTCAGGCTCCTCTCTGGCCACCTGCCAGTTGGTACTTGGGAGATGATGGATGCCAGTTTCAGATCAATCCCCGCAGACCACGCCAAGTGACCTCACCAGTGTATGAATCTGTGCACCAGGACTCTAGTTATGAGTATAATAATGGTTTGAGTTTCATGAACACATCATGATTTATGAAACAGTATACCTAACCTGTACTTTACTCATTATACCTTTTTAAAAATAATTCAAAATTTAAAAACGTGTATGTTTAACTATATTAGAAAAATAGGTTTGGCAAGTCTATATTCAATACATCTTATGCCCTCTGGGCGCGAGTCCAGCCTCAATGACAGAAATGTAACCAACAATAAAGAACTTTCGCCCCAACCAACAAGAATGCTGGCTGGGTCACAAAAGCCACATCGCTGAACTACACACTCTTTGCCTTCGTCTTTGTATTTCTGCCGGTGCACAAATGGCTCTGATGGGAACATCTGAGAAGATACAGGAAGCCACAAAACCTCTTAATTATACTGAATGACAATGACTCGATTGACAGAAGATAAACATGCTGGGAGATCCTCAGATCTGTGTACTGGTACACACCACTCCTGTTGTTTTTTCCTCAGAAACATTCCTGGATGCAAGGTTAGATGAGGAACATTCCATCTAATGGGCTGCAATCCTCAGCAAAACTCACTAGGTCACTGTTTCTGTAGTGTAATGGTTTCCTCTAACTACTATTGTACTCCCAACCGTGACAGTCACCCACAGAATTGTAGGCTTTAGGTCTCAAGGCCCTCTGCAATACCTGGACAAGAGATTCCCTTCAAGTGTATGTGGATCCCTTGAAAAACAAGAAAAAAATTCATGCTGCTGGAAGATATACTTCAGGTTATCACAGCAACACCCACTTTGGAGTGATCTCCGTGTCGCAAAGCATCCAGACATCACATGAGGACTAGAGAGTTCACAGTGTTTCCTAGGAAAACAGGGCAGGAATGAAAATTTGGCAAAAACTGCTCTGGAAATTTCTGCACCATACTATTCCCTCAAAGGCAAAAATGTTTGAGACCCCATATGTTTTTCACCTGATCATGCTAGGAGAGCCCAGATCTCCTTATAACTCATAGAGTAAACAGCAAACCCAAGATGAGAGAAGACTTAGGAAAAAGTCTTTATTATTTTACAAACCAAAGAGACATGAGACTAGCAGTTCTTGCATTGATGACTTAGGCTCTCGATAAATTCATCACTGGCATCTAGGGAAAGTGTGCTCTTAAGAATGGCAGTA